AAATAAAATCTTTAAAAAAAAAAAAAAGATTGAGCAATTTTACCTTCATCTGCTTTAAATCTTCTATCCTTACTTGAGGGATAAGTTCGATACCTTAAAAAATATTAAATCACTGTATTAAAAATTAGAGAGAATAGCAGATAATACAAAATTCACCATTTTGAAATCTCATCTAAAGACTTTGAAGCAGCTTTACATGTAATGTTCTAGATATAAGCATCTTAATTTCTTATTACAAAGCAATTAACTAGACACTTACTTGGCAGGCTTATTGTCTCAAGTCAAGTTCCTTACAAGTAGAACCTGAGCTGGAGTTGTGTGCGCACATGACTTACTGAGGGAAGGCTCTCAGGAGAAACCTCTAGGGAGTGAGAGAAGCAGAATAGGGCAGAGGAAGAAGGCAGGGTGCATTTCTAGCTGAAATCCACCCGGACCCTGCAGGGAGTTCATTAGCATAAATGGCCATCCAAAAGTTGCTCCACCTTGAGGTAAGGAGACTGGGCTTTTGTAACCCCAGAATAGTCAGCCGATGGCTTCAGAGGTTGTACAAAACCTTCTAGGCATTTCCAGGCAAGGGAACTCCCACAGTCTGAGGGCAATCCTCTGAGAAAGTGGCAGTTGTGATTTACGATCAGCCAAAGGGGGGTGCCAACCCCACAAAGGAGATCTGATCAGGCACCACAGCATCTGTTAACGTTACTTTTATCTTTGTATTTCAGGGCATAGCATACCAGTCAACTACCTCCCTCTTCATTGTCATCAAAGAATAAAACTTTTTTTTTTTCTCAGCTGCTTTCACCAAATGTAATTTTTAAGCAATAGGCTATTGAGCAGAGCCATGCCTTCAACATACAGGAAATCCTGGAATCAAACCGTTAACAGGATGCTGTCAGGAGGACCCGGAGTCACATACTCAATTATCCTGCTACTGGAGTGATGCTAGGCCAGGTGTCGTCATGGCAACCAGAGTTGCAGGAGAATCCCCAAACATTTTCTGTTTGACTGCAGATTTTCATCTTAGACAAACAGGATGAATGTGTGCTCTGTGCTATAACTGATTTCCATTAGACTCCCAAAAGCTAGGCGTGAGATATTCAAGAAAGACAGGCCTCGAGTCCCAGGCTCTTGTTTTTCAGTTCTGTTCATTTTAAGAGGATGTGCATAGCCAGTGTGAGGGTGGGGAGGTGGGAAAGGGAGTGAGGGCTAAGAGAAATGAGCCCTGTGATCTATATACCATTTATGATAGGGGTGTCCAGAGAACCTGGGGCTGTTCTCTCTCTCTCAAGTCTGACATCACAAGCCAGCTCCCTGCTTTACTGCAAGAATGAGGGGCATTGTAGGGCAGAGATGTGAATCCTCATCTATAAAATGAACAGAGGACTGTGGTGCATGCGAGATCCCCCCAGAGAGCTAGCAGATATTAAGACTTAATCTAGTCCAATGAGACTTCTCTTTTGGTCTTGGTTAAAGTACATCTTGATTAACAGGAACCTATGAACACATGAACTTGGTTATACATTTTTTGAGAAAGACAGAAATAACTTATAAAAATTTTCATTCCTATAAATGATGTAGCTAGGGAACACCTACACTCTGCAGAACAGGACTTGGTATGTGCTCAGTTCCCTCTGTGGGCCTACAGAAGGGTGTCTAACAGAACTTTTGGCAACTGTGGTAATGTTCTATGTGGGAGCTGTCCAACGGAGAGCGGCTAGCTATGCATGGCTCTGGGCAACTGAGCTGTGGAGAGTGCAACTCAAGAGTTCAAGAGTTAATTTTAACATTGAAATTTACATAGCCACATGTGGCTACTCCACTGGCCAGTGCAGTTCTACAAGCTTCCCTGGTTAAGGGAAGGGTTACGCACGGCACTTTGGGCTCCAAAGATTGTAGCTAATTGAAGTTTCACTACGTAAAAGTTTTTGTTCTTATCAACAAAGCTCAAAAAGAACTTGTTTGCTCTCAAGCCATCATTCGGAGGCCAACTCAGAGTTTCGTTTTCTTAATTCCTTATTCTTAAAAAGAAAATCAAGCAGCATTGGTGCAGATACTGGTGTTGGGTTGCATGTCTGAGAGAAACCAGTTAGAACTTTCTTACCTCCACAGATGTGGGCAGCAAGTACTGCCCGGCTCTACCCATTCACCTTGCTTTCTCTACATCAGCCCACTCTACTGACTTCCAATGGCCAGCACCTGCATTTCCTTACCTGAGGACTCTCCCTCCAAAACGTGCTTTACCACCCTTCTGTCCATTTAGAATCATTGGGGGGGAATTTATCCCTCCTCCAGGGGCTCTCAACAAAAGACTGACTGTAGTTGAAGTATAAGTTCCTCTGCCTCTGAGATGTGTGTCCAACACCAGCCCTCAGGGTGTTCCCAGGAGCACTGAGCTCCAGGTGCCTCACTGGAACTTGGAAACACTCTGATTACTGGCTACCTTCTCTTCTTTGTGTCCCTTCCCCAAGCCCCTACTTGTGTCCGTTGTACCCCCCCCAATAAACTACTTGCATTTGAAACCTAGTCTCAGGGTCTGCTTTGGGATGACCCAAATTAAGACCGTTCTCTAGAAAGAAGCTTGCTTTCTCAAATGACACCTCTTCCCATAAAGGCCACTGGAGTAATTTCCTGACTCCCTTGACCCCTGACTCCCCTGTTCATAGACAGGAGTGGGAAGAACACCTATAAACTTCCTTCTTGCACTTCTCTACTATTCTCCTAAAAGCTACCATGCAAAATAGGCCCCTCACTTAGACCAGGTTCTGCTGAGCCTGGTTACCTCCACAAGTGTCCTTCTAAATTGTACATTCATCTGCTCCATGAACTTCAGCATCTGGCTCATGGTTTTCCCATGGAGGCATTCCCAAGCATCCAACAGGGTGATTCAGTATCCATGAGAAGAATCCATTTCATTCCTTCCTATTCAAGTCAGACCTATGTTTCAAGGCCCAGATCCCAATTGGGATCTCATCCAGAAGTCTTCTCTGGGACACTTGCTGGAAGCGATGCCCTCTCCCCTCCTGTTCCTTAGGGGTTAGCCCTTATTGACCACTGCCAGCCGGGCTGTCGTGTGGGAGCCTGTCCTACATTACCCTTCTAGCCACATGAGGTCCCTGAAGGTGTAAAGGCATTTCTCATAGAACTTGGTACTGTCACTTAGAGTAGGCTTCCAATTTTCCTGAATAAAAGGCCAAAAGGAAACAGTGTGTAGACCCTCTCTCTCAGGGTGTCTGTTGAGGAGACTGGACCAGAAACGAGAGCCTCTTGGCTCCCCCCAATGCAATTTTATTTGGAACCAGGGGCGAGACCGTTCTAAACACAAACACGTTCCCTTCTAGAACTAGGATCACTTCTGTCTTCTGTAAGCTGGTCACACTGCCATTTTTCAGGCCACTTAAGTCACTGTAATTACTAATGTCTTTATGTACTAGTGGGCGTGACACTTTAAACAAAACAAGAACTTTACACAAAAACTCTCCCATTTTCCACTGTCTATCTCTGTTTGAATGGCTAAAGCGACTAATGACCAGTGCTGGAATGGAATGCCCAAAGCCTGTATCATGAGCTTGCTCATGTCTCCAGGGAGGAACAGAAAAACAGCTGCAGGCAAACTACAATTTGGGCTACTTCTGTGCAGTCTCATTTACTAATTTGTTTCACAAAGCTCCATGCACACTTAGTATCCTGCTAAATTACTATGCTGCCTTGGTTTGGAAAAGCCTGTCATTTCTTACCTTCAGCTGCAGCACTGTGTGCGTGTAAGTTACAAACAACATGATTCGCTAACATCAAGGGCACTGCATTCACATATAAATAGGAAATATACCCACTAAGTAGAAAACCATTAGAAAAAAGAAATTCTTATCAAAGTAAGAAGAGTGAGTCTGGTAAATGATTCATGATCGAGGAGGATACTCAAAATGTTTAATTCCCAGTGTGGGATGGGCACCATCCAATCAGAATGAATGCCTGGCCAGTAAGCTCGGAAGTCAATTTTAAATGAGCAAGTTGGTTGTGGCCCCACATACCAGCTGAATGTTAGCACATGGGATACATCATTCTTTGTGGTGACACCTCTTAGAATATCTTGTTTCATTTACAGGAAACCATACAGAATCGGCCTTCAAATGTCCATCTGATAATTTTACAAATAATCATGGATGCTAAATATCTACTCATGGGGGCAATCTGTCAAGAAGGGAATCTAGAAATATATGAACAGTGATGATTCTGTTGGTTCATGAGCCCACTTCCTGTCCAGATGAGTGCCCGTGGGGGTATCCAGGAGAGTGTGGGGATGACTTAGTGAAGTTCACTGCATGGAAGTTCTTTTCATTAGGGAGCCTGAATTTAAACATTTTCTAAAACTATGGATATTGTACCCAGGGCCCTAAGTTGCAGGGGATCTAGCAGATGAGACAAATGTTGACTCCCTGTTAAATACTCTGGGAAATTAACCAGTTTGTCCAATCTACAAGAAAACATGCTGCTCTTGAGTTTTACGGGGCAATGAAAATTGGCAAAATTAGCAATTCTAAATACCCTCAGAAAAGACTCTTCGAAGAGTCTAAAATTGCCCGAACAGATAAGGAGCCCAAACCCCTCCCCTTTACCTTTCTTGGCTTCCACGCCAGACCCCAGGGCCGCCGTGGTGGTTGGTCTGAGCTCGGAGCTGCTCTGTGGGGTCACGTTTGCTTTGGCAGTGTTGGCTTTTCCTTTCTTGTCATTCTTAGAAGTATCACTGGGCACATCTGCTATGTCGCTCTGGAGCAGAAATGTTTATATTACCCTACATGAATGCCATCTCGCATTCAACTGTCTGGCACTTTCTCTATTTTACTGAATCCAGTTTGAACCACTCAGCATCTCCCCTACAACTCTCTTAACGGATCATTGCCCAGCAGGAGAAAAGATTACATGCTTTTCTCAGGCTTGAGGCAAAGGATGAAGCCGAGGAAAAAAGATGCCACTCTTTTACAAACAGGGTATGGTAAAGGGAGCTTTAAAAACAAAGGAACAGGGGCGCCTGGGTGGCTTAGTCGTTAAGCGTCTGCCTTCAGCTCAGGGCATGATTCCAGGTCCTGGGATCGAACCCCGCATCGGGCTCCCTGCTCGGCAGGAAGCCTGCTTCTCCCTCTCCCACTCCCCCCTGCTTGTATTCCCTCTCTCGCTGTGTCTCTCTCTGTCAAATAAATAAATAAAATCTTAAAAAAAAAAAAAACCCAAAGGAACAAAGAAGGCGAGTGTGCACAGAAATGGAGGAAGGCTGGATGCAAGACTGGTAAGCAACAAAGACACATAAATGTCAATTTCACTAATTCACTGACTTGGATTAGCTGGTATTCTAGTGTATCACGGAAGCATCCTGTATCTGAAACATTCCTAAAAGCATTATGGATTTCCATTTCATTTATTAAATGTTTTCCATTTTATTAAATATGCTACACTTTTACAGACCCTTGAAACTATTTTGTTGAATTGATAAATTCAATTTCAAAAACACTCTTCAAGTTTGCTATATGAACTTATTACTCTGTCTTGCTCTTATAATCACTGACCACAGAACTTCCTCAACTTGGCTGTCCTTAGTCAACCATTGCTACTTACAGTTTCAATGCCCATAGCTCTCATTTGGTCTGCTCTCTTTTCCGTAATGGAAAGAAATTTCTTTGGATCTGATAAAGCATCCACAATATCTGAAAAATAACCCAAAAAGTCAGGCGGCTGTTGATTCTCTGTTTTACCGTACACACCCAGGAAAATTCAGCTAGTGAACAATTCATAATCCTGGACCCCTATTATATCTTCTGTGAATTTCCTTCTCTTAGAACACAAGACAAAGTTAGGAAAGCACAGCCAGTTACAGAAAACAAGAAATAAGTAAGGGCAAGGATCAAAGGCCAGATGACTTTCTCCTATTTTCTCTTTGGTGTTTGCCCAAATAAAGATGACAGGGTGGCAGGGTGAGCCAAGTGAATTGCCTTGGGTTCTTGACTACTTATGTGACTTTGAGCAGGTTGATTCATGTCCCCAGCTGAGTTTCTTCATCTGAAAATTAGGGCTGATACCACCCACTCCAAAGGGATACGATGAGTATTCAATGAGATGATAAATGTAAAAAGTACTTGGAACATAGTAGACACCACCGGTATCTAAGTCTTATTTTTAGGTAAGAAGGCCAATACATATTTAAAGCCAATTTTGGTTCCATGGTAGTTAAAATGAAGTATTTCTCCAGCATCCTCTCAGCTACACCTTGCATTTAAAAATGGTAAAATTTTCATGTTTTATATAATGTCATTTGAAGAGTTCCAAGTACTTTCCAGGAGAATCTCATGTAATTTTGCATTATTTACCAATTCTACAGAAGTAATATTTATTCTCATTACCTTAAAACAGTACATCATTTATAATTTTCAAAAACTCTATGTATATCAATTTCCTCCAGTAAAATCACCCTAGTCTTTAATTATTCTCAGTTGAATCTTTTTCTTATAATACAAAATACATGTATATGATAAACATTCATATAAGATGTAAAAATCTCCTCTCCTGCCAATCTGACCCCTCGTATATACTGTTATCCATTTCTTGTATCCTTATTTAAAAACAAAACGAAACAAAACAATTCCAAATGGGTTCACAGTTTTATGCACCTATTTTTTATTTTAAACTTCACATATCTTGGAGACACTTCTTTATCAGTAATGTAGATCTACTATGTTACTTTTAAGGGCTGCTTAAATATTTCATTTTCAGAATGGCTATAATTTCTTTAACAGTGTTCCTTATTGATAAGACTTTTAGATTACTTCCAGTTCTTTGCTATTATAAAGAGTATTGCAGTGAAGATCCTGGAATGTTCAAATCTCAGAGCAGACATTTGCTGTGTCCACAGCATAAATGCCTAGAAGTTAGAATGATGTGTAAGGGTATTTGTCCTTTTGGTAGCAGCATTGCCAAGTTGCCCTCCAAAGAAGTTGCATCAATTTATTTTCTCTTACCAGGGGTATATGAGAAGGTTTGAATCTAGTTATCACTTAGGTCCCTAAGAACTCTTTGTCTCGTAGTGGGGAAAGTAACCAAATTAGCTCTTAAATCTTGCTTAGGAGAAATGACAGATAATCATTTTTTGGAAGTTAAAGTTCTAAGAATATATTTACCTAATTTAAGTCCAAATTATGAACATTTTCAGGCATACACAGATGTAGACAGAAAGGTAAAATAACCCCCCATATATTGCTGAAGCCCTAACAGTTATAAACAGTCCACTACATCTCCTTTACTGCCATCCTTCCCTTTTTTTCCCTCTCTTCTCTCTGCTGACATATTTGGGGCAAATTCCAGACATTATAACATTTCATTCCTAATTACTTTTCTATGCATCTCTAAAAAACTGCATTTTCTTTCAGAACCAACCATACCAGCACTGTATCCAACAAAGTTGGCAGTAATTCCTTACCATGAATATAATAAATGGCCCATCTTATTATTTTCCCTATTGACAATTTATTTGTTTGAATCAAGATATAAAGCCCATACTATGTCTCTGATAACTAAGTCTCTTAAACTTACTTTAATCTAGACTAGTCCCTGCTACTATTTATTTTTCATAATGCATAGATTTGTTGAGGAGACAGATCAGGTATCCCATAAAATGTCCCACATTCTGAATATCAATGCTTCCTTGTTGTGTCATGTAGGCTCGACTTTCCCTTTTGTATAAAGACTCCAGAGGAGTTACTGTGATTTCCTATGGGTCCCATGCAAGATAAAGCCTGATTGCCCCACTTGTCCTGGTGCTAAACTCATTGATCGGCTCAGGACTTTTAATCCATCTGTGTCTGACTCCCAGATGCCACCTCCTTACACTTGTCCACAAACTCACACTGTGCCCACTGAACCCCCCGCCCTCTGTGGAGAAGACCTACCTGGCGTCAGCCTCCCTGCACACTCCTACACTGGATACACTTTGCTTGAGTTCCCACTGGCATATCTCAGTGGAGGATCCACATGGCTGGCTTGTTAGGAAACAAGTACTTGCTTATTTCTTTAGTGATATACAATCAGGTCGAGGGCCTGGAGTGTATATGGCATTTTTCAGTGGTTACTGTTAGTCCTTTCAGTAGGAATCACAGATAACACTTACATCACTTCCAGCTGATTACAAAACCAATAAAGCAAGACCTTAAAGTGTGAAATGACCCATAATCCTTCCAAACGAACCAAGCTATTTTCATTTTTGTATATGCTTGTGTCATTTTTTCCACATGAATACATATTTTATATGGTTTATTTAAAATTACATAATCTCTTTTTCATTTATTTTTAGGTTATACCTGTACAGTTTTAAAACTTACTTTTATTGAATGAATAATGTTCCATTGAGTTTATGTACCGAACTATTCTCTACTGCTAGATATTTAGATGGCCTTTCAATTTTTTTTTTAATGAAAGATGACTTTGCAAGAAATATGTTAATACAGAAAGAGTTCATTTCCTTTTACCAGTGAATTTGTAATTCAGATCCATAAGATAGCAACTTATATACCTGATGAGCATTACTAACAAAATTTGTTCCTAATAAGCTTTTAAAATAGTTATTTAAGAAAAATTAATGGGAGGAATGAGTACAAAGAAAATATAGCAGAATTAAGAGGGTATATTAAGCTGAATAATGCCCTTCAAAATTCACGACTACTGGGGACCTCTGGACGTGAGTTTATTTACGAATAGGGTCTTTGCATATGTAATTAAAGACTGAGATCACACTGGATTAGGGTGGGCTCTAAATCCAATGATTGGTGCCCTTATAAGATGAGGAGAGGACACACAGAGACAAAGAGAAAAAGGCTAGGAGATGACAAAGACAGAGAATGGAATAATGTAGCTAAAAGCCAAGGAATGCTGAGGACTGCCAGGAACCACCCAGGAGCTAGGAAGAGGCAAGGAAGGATTTCTCCAAGAGCCGCCAACTCTAGGATTTCAAACTTCTAGGCTCCGGAACTGTCAGAGAATGAATTTCTGTTGTCTCAATCAATTTCTGTTGTGGCAAATTTGATTAGCAATGGTAACCAAGAAAAAGTTTTTTTTGTTTTTTTTTTAAAGGAGATAGAATTTTATTGACTACACTGCAAGGGTGCTGCAGACAGCAAAGGAGAGACGGTCTGCCACGAGGCGGTGGTGAGGGGTCACAGTTATAGGGCAGAGTGAAGAGGTATGGGAACATATGGAATTTCCCCCTCTTTGGTAACTGTGCCTGGTTGTGAGTAGCCCATTGGTTAGTTAGGGCCTATGGCTCTTTTGAGGTAGGTTGCTTAATGAGCCTGTTTGCATCAGCTCTGGGCCCTTTTGCCTTGCTCAAGACTCTATTGCTCAAGCCTGTTGCCTAAAAGCCTAAAAGGGCCTCTATATTCCCTCCTGACAGACTGACAATGACAAATCTTTGTCATTTGGGTGGAGGTCTCATCTCCAGTAACTTCTTCCTGCTGAAGGAGCAGTGGAGAGATGTCCCTACCTATGGGTCAACATTGGTCAGTTGGGAATTTATATGTAGGAATTACAAATGGCAGAGGCAAATGAATCCAGGGTAGACAACATACACGAATTTCCCTGAGTAGAAACGATCATCTGTCAGCTTGAAATTATGGCAGCAAAGGGATCTTCTATTCTTGGGTGTATCTTCCAAATAAAGTAGGCTTTCTCATTGTTAACAAGGAGCATTCGTCAGTCCCTGGAGACCTCTCAAGGACCCATCATGGTTTGATCAAAGAATACCTCGAATCCCAGAGTATTCTTCCTGTTTCCTGCAGCAGTGTCTTGGCCCCAGCCTTGAGGGTTGATTCTGTGCAATTCTGACTGAGAACATAGGCACTATATTTTATAACATATAGTCATGAAACAATATGCAAACTAGGTCATATATTGTTTTGTATTACATGGACAAACTGGCTAAGATGTTCTTATCAGCCATTTGCTGTAGGATTATGTAGATAGAGCCTAACTTATACATCAAAATAAGATGCTGCAGATTTATCCATTAGTTGGATAAATATCATTAATTAAATCCATCTTAAGCAGGCGATGCCGTGGCTTAGTTGGTTAAAGCGCCTGTCTAGTAAATCCATCTTCAATTACCAATATTAACAATTCTAGAAGTTGTTGGAGAATTACGTTCCCAGATCCTGAAATCTTGCCTTGTTACTTGAGTTTAAATGAGATGCTTTTTCCATAGTTATATATGCCTTTAAAATTTTTCTAGTATATAACTCAATATAATAGTGTTTTTGATCAAATGGCAACAAAAATACACAAAGTATAAGTAAGGCTTATTCAAACTGAGTCACATGGGACAAAAAGGAGATGACGAAGTGCCTGGAACAAGGCTTAGGTTAGCCGGTTACTTGAAACAGGGACTTCATTCCTGGCATTTTTGAATAATAAATCAGATATTTCTAGGACACAGGATTTTGCCATGTGGTGGCAGGTGCTCGTTCTGCAGCTAGAGTAATAGATCAACGCAGAGGGCAGCAACTGGGATAGCTCCACCAAAATTTTTCAGCAAAAGGGCTCAGGATGACAGAGTCAAGGCCTCTCTTGGCCTCTTTTAGGTAATTTTTCTGTTGGAACTTGGTTTCTCCTCTGACCAGAGCCATAGACACCTGACTTTTAAAGAATGCTTTATACACATACATTA